TATGTGCATTGTGTTGTACTTCCAATTGCAATTTTTTTCTTTTGTATTCTTTTTTACTTATTTTGTTGTTATTATTTTATACACACATTCAAATATCGTGAGTTATTTGCATTAAGTATGATGATGATTGAAAAATGAAATAATGATGAAACTGCAAATGACTATGACTGCTTTTTAGTTGTGGCGACACAAGTTCCGGCGCTAACTAATATGGCGCCTAATGTTATTATTATTGTTTTTTATATGTGTATACATATGTATGTAGTATATGTGTGTGTTATTTATGATAATGCATAGAATAAAATTGTAATAGTCGCATATTTGTTGTATAGGTAAATGGGCAAGTCTAACCGGCTTAATTGGGTCGTGTTAATACAATTTATTCCTCAAATTCTTCTTAACGAAAGAAATTAAAAAAGCGTAATTTTATTTGGAAATGAATTAATAAAAAATAAACACAATAATACGCTTTCAAAGAAGTAGTGAACCAAAACCACAAAGGAACATATGTATGTACGTAATAGACATTAGGGTGGCCTTAACAAACCGTGTAGACATTATTTTTAGTAAATGATGTATGTATATCTATTTGTTTAAAACGTCCCAGCAGTTTGACGAGACAGTCCCGAACTACATATTTAACCTACCACTTAGGGTTACCCCTAGCCACCGACTGTCCAAGTGACTAGTTATTTTAACATGTGCTTGTCGTACGAAGAAGTCAATCGTTACCCCATATATTACGAAGAGACAGACAAAAAAAGCTTAAGTTAGTTTTTTAGCGTCCCCTCTATCGTTTACAAAGAGTACATCCGCAACGAAAGGCGAATTAGACCCAACCAGGTGGTTAGACGTTAGTGGAAATCACTGTCTATTTCGGATGCATTGACTCTGTCGAACTGCTGGGGTATGTATGTATACCCAGGAAAAACTTACATTGAAAAGTAATGAGTTAAAAAGCTAATAAAATCTCTTTTCACTACTTCTTCATTAGCATTTTAAGTAATTATTTTAACACGGTGATGTCATTTGAGGCAAGTACTTCCACGCTCGCTTACAAAAAGGACGTTAAAGAAGAACTTGCAATTTCTCTTACAAAAAGTTGTTTAGTAAGTTGTTTTATTTTTTCATAATAAAAGGAGCCAGCTAGAATACGAACCAGGGAATTCGGTTTGTTAGACAAATGTTCTACTCACTGCTTAGCTATTTTATTGCGCGTCAAATAATGGTTTTCACATACAAATTTAATTTTGTTTTCTTTATTGTAAAGCATAATTCTTAAGTCGCAATCAAATAAAATGTGCAAACAAAATGACAAAGCCGAAAATAAAGTACTTCGATATCAGATTATAAGAAAGTCATCACTAGCAGTCGATAAGTAGTACTCATTGAAAAGAATGTGGTTATGGAAGTACAAACCATTACCGAGTTTTTGCTAGGTACTTTACCGAGGAACGCTCGGGAATAAATGATACTTTATATGATATGGATTAAATTATTGCCCTAATATGGATACATAATTATATACATCCATATGTACATATTTTTGTACAATAATATTTTTATAGTGCCGGCACTATTATAAACACTATAAAAACACCACGCGTTTCTAATTTATTGGTTGCTCTCAATTGTAGCAAAACGAAATAAAAAACTCAAGTTTCATGTTTTTTTTAACATTCTTTTTAATGTTTAGTTTTTATAAAAATTTGTTTGTAGATTGTTTTACAAATGAAAATGTACCAAAATTTAATAAATTTAAAATTTGTTTATCACAATTTAAAAAGTTTGAAATTGGAGCTTTGGAACTGCCGTCTGAAAAATTTTTGGGACAACAAAAACTTCACCCGTCTTATTATGAACTTCGCAAAAATAGACGGGGGAGGTCAATATACTTAACTTTATTTTTCCAAGTACTTTATAAAGTAATAAATAATAATTTTCTAATATAAGGTTCAAAAATTCAATAGACACGGAAACACTTTGAAATTTTCCACAATTCTAAAAAAGTAAAAAGAAATAAATGAAAATATAGAAATGTATAATTTTACTTTATAGAGACAAGAGGAGAGGAATAATTCAAGATACGAAAAGATATTTTCTTTCTTTTTTTTTTTTGACTCACAGAATGTTCAGAGACGTTAACGACGACCGACCGATTGTGATGGCTGGCTGAGCTACATCATCGTTAAATTTAGAATTATTTTTATCTGTGTATCTCCTCGATGTTGTCGTATTAATAATTATTATTGTTGTTCTTTTGGTTGTTGTTATAATTTTGTTGTAGTCTTTTGACCACTTTATCACATTGTAATTTAGACAACAACAATAACATCGAATGTAATTTACATTAACATGGTGTTGTCTACGAATGTGTAAAATATTTACTTAATTCGGTACAATTGGAAAAACATCGACTAAAAAATGCATTATTTTTCATATGAAAACACACTTATTATTATTCATATATGAAATGAGATTTTTTCCTAAAAAAACCACACACAGCACACACACAATTTCAAACTTAAATTTTGCACATTAAAACAAAACGAAATGTTTAAATTTTATGTCCACATTTTTAATTCATCCCATTAAAAATTAACATTAAAACATTCGGCATTTTCAAAGATAACAATAAATCTTAAACTACTTAGGTTATTTTTTGTTATTGTATTACTATTATTATTTTTTTTTATTTCACTATTTTTTCTTTCCTTCTTTCTCTATTATTCAATACAACTACATAAACATGTATACAAATATACAAACATATGTACATAAATATAAACAACGTGAATATGAACAAAATTTTAAACAAAATTGAGATTTATACACCTAACAACAAAAAAATTAATGCATATGAAGTACAATATCACACATTCACTTGAAGACTGGCATAACTCAAAAATTATTTCTGAATCTTCACGAACTAACGGAAGAAATTTATGTTATTTAAGATGTTGATATTAAATATAGTCCCTCGATATGTATAGGTATTGAAAAAAAAAATAAGTTTAATTTCATCTTGATATCAACAGATCTAAGAAATTCAATTAATTGGCTTTTAATTATTTTATAATTTATTTATTTTAAATTTTGAATTAGTCCATATCGTTATGTGTGTGGATGTTTTTTCGTTATTTGCTGTATAATGTCTAGTAGAAGCAAAAGCAAACAAAATCAATGATTGACTGACCGGTTGTACAGGTTTTATTTATTATTTTTTATATTAACTTAATATTAGAAGAACAATTTGCGGTTAAGACATTCACTCCCCTTTCCCTTCCATACTCACATCCATATTTAAGCCGACTGCTTGAAAAGTTATGGTGATCCATTCTAAAAGTTCTATATACATATGTGTGTACATACTTATATATCAAATTTAAACTCATTTATACTTATTTAAAAGGTATATTATTACGCGACATTCAATCAATTCAATTTTAAATAAAAAAAACACGTTAAAATGCACTTGCAGATACAAATTGCTATGGCGGCTATTCAAACATTAAAGACAAGTTAGTAAAAATTTATAATTTTGTGAACCCTTTAAAAAAAGTATATTTTTATAAATAAATTTTTATATATAAGAGTTGCAAAATGTTTTAAAAATTTATATATAGTATTTTAATAATTCAAATTCAATACAAAATTTATTGGAAGAAGTACATAGTAAATTGTTTCCAATACATTCATATATAATATTCTTATTTTAAGGAAGAGCAACAATAACATAACCAAATTGAATTATTCAGAAATATAATTTTTATTCTCTCAGTGTCTCTTTATTTAAACTTTAATTCTCAGACACAAGTTTGTATATGTACACGTTCAAACATACATTCATACATGTATTAATTGAAAACATTATTATTTTTTTGCAGCACTTGTTTTGCGATTTTATTTCAATGTTTACGTAACATGATGGCGCCAAAATTATTGCCATTTGAAAAATGAATAAAAACAAATTAAGAATATTTCTGTTTTATTAGGCTGTTCTGAATCTTAAATATGTTTCGACCATGGATGGAAAACTTGTTGCTATTGTACTTTGGTACATACTTACATACTATTCGATACTCTCACACGACTAATGCAAACAATAATTTTTCTCAAATAATTTTCACTTTTTTAAATGTGTAGAAATAGCTAACAACAATTAAAATTAGTTAGAGTTCTTGTTTGTCAGGCCGGAGGTTGTGGGTGTAATTCCTAGAGACACTTGAAAAGGAACGCACAACCTAGGTGTATTTCTTTGACATACATCCATACATTTCTTTAAAATACATCCTACTTTCAAATTTAAATATCTAAAGAAATTAGGTCCATTATGTCAACTTATAATACTGAAAGCTTCGAGTTTCGAGCTACATACAAATGCATACATATTTACCTATTATATAGCAGTGTCAAATATAAATGATCAGCTCTGTCAAGCCCTAACTTACATGTAATAATTTGAGTTCAATTATAATAAGTTTAGCACATATTAAACGTTTAATTTGTTTCTGTTTTTGATAATGAACATGATTTATAATTTTATTTATAGCTCATGATCCAATAAGAGCTTTATTTTGTTGATATTTGTATATAAAATAAATAATTATTTTGAAAATGATCTCAAGATTGTGAAAATAAAATGTCATGACCTTTGAACCCTTGCTAAAATTGTGGAATTATATGATGCACATGTTTACAGGGGATAGTTTTGGTATTACCTATATGAATCATGTACTCCAATTAATCTTGCAAGGTTATTTATAAAAAAAATTTTATTTTATTAACGGTTTATCAATCAAATTTTGTATGGAAATTTTGTTTTTTAAACCTTGTATAAAATAAAATGTTGTTTATCAATAAGGGGATATAAATTTTTTCATATTTCAACAAATGTATTCTGTAAATTTATTGTATTCTGTAAAATTATCCAAATTTGTTCATATTCTTTTAATTTATAAAACCAATAATTGAATATGTTATTTTATTTTAATTTACAGATCGCCGATGTTCTCCAAATTGGTGTGAAGTTGCATATTGGGAAATGGCACAGCGTGTGGGTGAACGATTTCCAGCTGATACACCGACTATAAACATATTTTCCGATAAACCGTATACATCAACTGGTGACCATAAAGATGGAATGTGTCTGAAGGAATTAATTGAAAAACGTACAACACCTTCGCCCGACGATGTGCAATACACGAGACAAAAAATTGGCCTAGGTATTTACGATTGTTATCATAAGTTCTGAAAGCAATTCAATTTACATTTGTATGCTTATTTTTTATATTTCTCTAGGTGTAACTCTAAGTCAAGAATCTGATGGTGTGTGGCTGTATAATCGTTCGACTGTACCTATATTTGTATACTCTCCTACTTTGACTGAAAGTTGGTATCGAGTTTGTCGCGTTGAACCCGGAGACTGTCTGAGAGCCTTTGACAAATACAGGTATGATGCATAGATTAAGCATTTAAATCATTTTAAGTTTTTACAATATTTTTATTTATTTTAGGGCTCAAAACTTGGAACATCCTGGCCAATTACCAGGCGTACAAACCGGACCTATCGACAAATTCAGTATGCGCATCAGTTTTGGCAAAGGCTGGGGTTGTTATTACAAACGTCCTGACATCACACTCTGCCCTTGCTGGCTGGAGGTGCTTTTCAAACCTCAACGGTGACAGGCATTGCAGCTGGCAAACGGTGAAAAATCTGTGTCATTGGAATCAACGGCAAGAACGGAACGTAAAAACCGTCAAGCAGTTACCTCCAATAGTAAATCGGCAGTAATGATAGAAATAATCAAAACAGCAAAATTGCAACCGCGACAACGAGTGAAAAGAGATGATGAAAATGGTCTCTGTCGCAGTACCGCTACCATCGAAACTAAAGCTCGTAAAAAGCAATGGTCGTCTACAATTTTTATTGGTCATAAGTATTCAATACATCAGTGTAAGCTTCTAAAGCTTAAACTACAAACCACCCTAGTCAAATTGATCAAATGTCTTCTGCTGGAAAATGGATCGATTTCGAGAAATAACAAAATGGCCATGTGATTGCAAGAATTCACAAAAAACGGAGAAACAAGAACAAATGAATACATGAAATAAATAAAACAAACATCAACCACAACTTCAAAAAAGAAAAATAATCAACTCAAGGACTGGAATTATAATTTATAGGATGTTTTTTCTTTTTGTGTTTCAACTTTACATCAGCGATAAACAAACAGATATACGAGTACGAATAGGCTATACAAACATTAATAAATAATTAATTGATTACTAAATTAATTAATTATTTAGTTGTAGACTTTTCTGCAAGAAAACGGTTAAACTGTTTAAAATGGAAATCCTGTGATCCAAGTAACAAAATAAATTTATAAAGAAAAAAAATAAACAAATTAATTTATATATTAAGTACAACTCTACTAATTTTTCTGCTAAAATCAATTGGTTCTATTTACTATTTGCACATACAAAACGACGATAAAGAACAGGTTAACGTTACACTTAAATTCCATATTTAATTTTAAAAAAATTCAAAATGTTTTCAGAGTATCTTTATAAATACATACATATGAATGTATGTATCTATATATGTATTTGTGTTTGTATGTACTCGTGTGTGCATTGTAGTTATGTTTATTTAAGTATTGATACTCTGCTGGCCAGATATCAAATTTATTCTTTTTTTGCAAATTGCGTATCACTTTTTTTACCACTGTAACGCCATCTACATATAATGCTAAAGAACGCTTCGCGTTAATTGTGTTAACCATTGCTGTTACGACTCTACAGTTCAAAACAATATAGAAATCGGAACTTTTAGAATCTAGATGTGTCCTTAATTTCTCTATCAAAGACTGTCCGATACGAAAGGGTCATTCGGTCCAGAATACAGTAATTCGCCCCTATTGTTAAAAACAACATTCAGATTTTTTAACAAAAAATGCATTTATGAAAAACAATCGATAGTTGGCGGAGTTAACTATTGTTAAACACATTACGTTCAGTTTCACTGAGTAAAATTGTATTTAACTAGCTAGGAAGAGAGGAGAAGGCAGAAATATCATTGTGACGTTGTTATTAAAATATTTTTCTAAATTTGAATTATTTCTTTTTTTTTATTATTGTTTTCATTTAATTTAAAAAATGATCATATACGAACATTGTTTTATTTTATGTTGATATGCATCATTTTCTGTTCTATGTTTATGAATTGAACTCTTTTATTTATATTTTTCTAAAGATACTTTCACATTGTTCAAATATTTAAAAACAACACAATATGTAGGAATTTGCTTTAAATATTAGTTAAATATGTATCTTAATAATGTGAACGTAACTTAAGTTATCTTTTTCCAATTTTATGTTTATTCTAGTCATTATACATGTTTAGCCATTGTATGTTGTCCTTCAAAGGCATAATTTCATAATCATTATACGAATCTTAATTGCAAAAGTGTATGCGATTCTAAATTTCTTTGCAAAGATACTCACTTGCATTTCATTCAAAGCGGAAATGCAAAATGAGATACTGTCATTCATCCATAGCAGTAAATAGAAATAATATTTTATTATACATCGTCCTGCCGATAGCCTTAAATCAGACGAATATTATGTTAAGAAGGATATTTTAATAAATATATTAAAATATATTATTGGAGTCATATGTTGTGAGATAAAGTAAAAAGAATGTTGTTTTTACAAATTACAGACTCTGGGGGTAATTATAACTTTGATATATTTTTGAAATTTTCATAAAAAGTAATGACTCAAAATAGCATTTTCGTTGTTAGTTAGTGGACCAGTGAATGCTTCGTAGAGATTCGACAAATTTTAGTTCAACTCTGATTGATAAAACCACATATAGAATCGAGTAGTAATGAGTATTTAAAAAAAAAAAAATAAATGGAAAAGGAAAAATTAAAAAAAAAATTCATTCCATTACTTTATTAATTAGTAACAAATCCATTTGATTGGATTTATATAAAACATTAATGTAAATAACGCGAATATTTTAGAAAACCACACACATGTTCGTACATACATACACGAAATTAATCGGAACTCTCTAACGATTTTGAATAAAACCCAGTTTTTTCATAAAAATAAATAATTAAATAAAAGAACTATCGTTTTTATTTTTCCGAAAAACTAAATAAAAATGTCGACTAAATTAATGCGATCGTCAATTCCTGATATTATTTTTTTTAATATTATAACTAATAGTTAACTTTTTGTATTATTTTTATTTATTGAGAGAACAAGCAAAATTGAAACTTTAAAATAAATACCATTGAAAATCCATTATGAAAATTATAAATTAGTTAAACTAAATTAGATAAATAATAAAAAACGATAAATTTCATACCAGGTTGTTTGTGCATTTGGCGCATGCACTTGTATTCAAATGTCAATCAAGAACTTTGTGTGAAACGGATCAATAAATTATATTCCAAATTGTATTTTAATTGTATAAAATATAATAAATAAATATAAAAAAATAAATAAAACCATTTTCATTAAAATAAAGAAATTGCGAAAATAAATTAACTAAACTAAATGTACGGCTATTGTTAAGTTTTAAGAAATTTTGTACAATAAATGAAATTGAAAACAAAAATATATACCATTAAAAACAAAAACAAAAATACTATATATGTATATTAATGCACACAAATGTCTTTTTCTTGAACTACTCATAATGGAATAAGTAATACAGACAAACATTTCTAATAAAGAAATCGGCTATGACGAATGCTCGGCATAATTATTTTGTTAAAATTTCAACTCCTTTATCTGTATATCTGCGGCCAAAACACCGATTTTGGGAGATATTTTTTGATAGATCGAAAACTTCAAAAAAAGAAAACGACGAATTCTTCCGGAATGAAACCACATTCGGTTTTTAAAGTGGAATTAAAATTTGTATGTAATTAATGTTTTTTCTTAAAGATTCAATAACAAGAACCTTTACTAAAATACGATTCTGGTTTTAAAAGCTAAACAGAATCAATTTTAAATATGTAATATTAATATATTTTTTTGTGAACTATCTACATAATTCGGAATTTGGAGAAGCTAAAACAAAATCGATCGGAATAAAAAAACGGAATTTAAACCATTCCGATCGAAATGTATGACAGACCTAATAACTTGTTTAATGACTAATGTTGGTACTTATGTATGTATGTATAACTTTCGTAATATAGCGTTCTAAAGAGTTAATGATAGAATTTTTGTTTTTGCACCATTTTCTTAGAAAAAATATCACTTTGATAATGCGCAAAGCAAAAAAAATTAAAAAGTGCATCTTTGGATTACTATACTACAGCACACAGTGGGGCAGAATGGAAATTTTTTGGAAATAAATCTGGCATTTCTAAACGGCTGATCCGATCGGGATAAAATTTGGCGTGAGCGTAGCCAAGGAGTATTCGAGTTTAAGTTTTGAAGATGAACCCTGCAGATGCCCCAGGGACGGCGCTGTGGCGGCTCAAAGTAGGGTACCTACGACATGTAAAATTTTTAAACTCGTGCCATTTTTTTGTTTTTCACCCAAATACAAAGATTTTTATATTTTGTGAAAGCGCTCGACGAGATCTTGAAAAATATGCTTGGACATACTACTTATCTCTTATAATATCCGAGTTATAGGCATTTAAAAATTTAGTGATACAAAATTTACCACACCTTGGTCCGCCTTTTTTTGAATACCGGGCGTAATTTTGGACCAAATGGACTCAAAAAATTTCCAATAATATACAAAAAATTTCAGATCAATATTGTTTACAGATCCAAAAATATACGTTTTTTAATTTAAAAATTCAAAAAATTTTAGATTTTTGCCGTTTTTTTGCCAAAAATGTGTCTTAACTCTTTTATTAATAAAATAAAATTTTTATTAAGAACATATAACAATTTTATAGTTTTCTAAAAGGTATCTTTACGCAGAACGCTTTGGCGTAAAAAACTTGTCCTATTTTTTGAAAATGTTGCCACTGCGTCCTTCCGAATATGACCTATTTTTTATCAAAACTTCAACTTTGGGCGACATGTTCTAAAATCCCAAAGCTGGGATCAGAAAACTGAAAGCAGTTTTGGAAACCTCAATATGTTTTCTATTTACTCCAAAAGTATTTTCCCAGCCCTGAAAGAAATGTGGACCCTATGGGCAAAAAAGTAAAAAATCCCATTTTTGGGATTTTCATTCCTATTTTTGGGAATTGCGGGATGCCCTTTGACCTTTTCAATTTTTTTTTTGCATATTCTTATTTGAAATGACAAATTTAACAAGCGTTGAAAATTTCATTGAGTTTTGTTCATAAATAAAGATTTTGTCATATATTACATATTTGTTTTATTTCTAAAACTATGATTTATATCAAAATTTTAATAGGATCGCAGATAGCTACAACAATTTAGTCCATATTTATCCCTTAATATCATTTTTTAGTTAGATATGGAAATTCTCGACCCTTTACAAAAAATTTCAAGCCAATATCTCAATTACATTCAAAAATATGTTCATTTAAACCTGTGTCCTTTAATTTCATCTTTTTCATATTTTAGTATTAAGTATGACAGAACATACATTTGGTGTTGAATAAAATATTTGGACAATTTTTAAAAATTATTTAGTTAATTATTTTATTATAATATTGTATATAAAATAAAAAAAATTATAATTTTATTATGAGCCACGCACAACAACACCTAAATCACCCCACACAAATTACCTTTCCCACCCACCGAAATATAAAACACAATTTAATACAATATCATCAGTTAGTATAATAGCTTTTTTTATTTGAACTGTTTATCTTAAACATAATACAATTAATTCTTACAACCTACTTATATAGTTAATTCCTAACACTACTTATTTTCTATAAAATAATCTGTCATATCGGTATACATATCCAGAAGGTAATATAAGTCCTTTAAATCTTCCTTGTTTTGAGATGATAGAGTTTCATAACAAATCCATCTTTTTCGCATAGTTGAAAGAACAGGATCAGAAGATAGAAGTAAACTATTAAAAATATCTTCATTCTGTGATTGCCTGGAGCATTTTCTTGAGCTGAATAGTTGAACATGCTTAAAATCTCGATTCCTCGCTTCCTGGGCTTCTTCTGTTAACTCTCCAAGTGGAAGAATATTCGATTCAATTATTATTTGACCATGACACAATACTTTGTGTACTGTTGGTGTTAGTTCCCTCCATGGATACAGAGATACAAGTAATTTAGAAATTTCAGATGTGTATTCCCCAAATCGATTTTCATTAATTTTATGTTTACTATTCAGTGCCATTAAAATAGTTTTAACTCTTCGAAGCAACTCCTTGTCGATTCCAGTTATTTTTGAAGTAATTTCAAAATCACGAAAAAACCTTCTCGACGTATTACCGTCATTTGTACTACCGCAACTTGAAAGTGGTTTGTCGATGTTTAATCCCATCTGAACTTTAAATTCTTCTTGGATTATGCTTTTTTCCGCAGTTCTCAGTTCTTTCAATTCTTCATTATTTTTTGTTGATTTAGTAGGATAGTTTGTTTTTTTTTTCCTGGATCGCCTTGTATGATGGTAATATATTGTGTCCTTTTTCATGCAGAGCTTTCCTTAATATTTGGTACTTATTTCGACTGAGACCCAGTTCCAACATAAGCGCTATTGCTTCCTCTTCAGTAAAATTTGATTATGATGTTGGAGTTGGTATACTTTCCACAATTCGCTTAAGTCGTTTTGGTGATGCATTAGGAAGAATAGTTGCAATATGTACGACATCCATATGTTGGTTTTCCTTTTTCAGCATTTCGTTAAATGTATCAGCAATTTCCTCATTTGAGATTGAAAAAAGTTTTTGTGTGACCCTCTTTTTTTTACCTTGAACATAAGTCTTCGTATGACTTGCAAGGCGCTCCTATTGATGTGTTGTAAGTTGAGATTTCCGTAGTAGTTTCCATCCAACTACAAAATTTTAATCGAAATTTCTTTTGATTTCCATCCACAGACTTACTTTTTACATCAAAAAGTTTTAAATTTTTGATATGCCTGTTTTGTCTACTTTTCTACTATATGTAGTTTTTATATAATTTGAAATGTCTTCAATTCTTTCTGGCCCTTTTGAAGATATACTCCATAAAACGGAACACAACTCTTCGTACTTTAATGTAATCTTCATTGTAGATTTATTAAATATGGTACTTAAAATCTGAGAAGTTTACTTATATACCAATTCTTGTCATTTCCGATACAGGTATTCCAAAGTAAAAAATTACGAATTGTCTACCTATTAACATTTAGGACTATATTACTATAACCTGTAATTCAGTCATTGATATTTCTTATTAGTGAATGAATCGAAATTATCATTACCTGTATATTTTTACCTACATGATCATAAACGAAACAGAACAAAATGATCTGTCGAAAAAATTTAGGTAAAAAATAGTTATACATTTTTGAAAATTTAAGCATAATAGGACCTTTCAATTATAAGGATAAGCAAACAAATAGAAAATAGGCAAATATAAGATTTAAATATGTGCTGTCATACTTAATACTAAAATATGAAAAAGATGAAATTAAAGGACACAGGTTTAAATGAACATATTTTTGAATGTAATTGAGATATTGGCTTGAAATTTTTTGTAAAGGGTCGAGAATTTCCATATCTAACTAAAAATGATATTAAGGGATAAATATGGACTAAATTGTTGTAGCTATCTGCGATCCTATTAAAATTTTGATATAAATCATAGTTTTAGAAATTAAACAAATATGTAATATATGACAAAATCTTTATTTATGAACAAAACTCAATGAAATTTTCAACGCTTGTTAAATTTGTCATTTCAAATAAGAATATGCAAAAAAAAATTGAAAAGGTCAAAGGGCATCCCGCAATTCCCAAAAATAGGAATGAAAATCCCAAAAATGGGATTTTTTACTTTTTTGCCCATAGGGTCCACATTTCTTTCAGGGCTGGGAAAATACTTTTGGAGTAAATAGAAAACATATTGAGGTTTCCAAAACTGCTTTCAGTTTTCTGATCCCAGCTTTGGGATTTTAGAACATGTCGCCCAAAGTTGAAGTTTTGATAAAAAATAGGTCATATTCGGAAGGACGCAGTGGCAACATTTTCAAAAAATAGGACAAGTTTTTTACGCCAAAGCGTTCTGCGTAAAGATACCTTTTAGAAAACTATAAAATTGTTATATGTTTTTAATAAAAATTTTATTTTATTAATAAAAGAGTTAAGACACATTTTTGGCAAAAAAACGGCAAAAATCTAAAATTTTTTGAATTTTTAAATTAAAAAACGTATATTTTTGGATCTGTAAACAATATTGATCTGAAATTTTTTGTATATTATTGGAAATTTTGTTGTCTAACTAACAAGAAAAAATTGAGTCCATTTGGTCCAAAATTACGCCCGGTATTCAAAAAAAGGCGGACCAAGGTATGGTAAATTTTGTATCACTAAATTTTTAAATGCCTATAACTCGGATATTATAAGAGATAAGTAGTATGTCCAAGCATATTTTTTCAAGATCTCGTCGAGCGCTTTCACAAAATATAAAAATCTTTGTATTTGGGTGAAAAACAAAAAAATGGCACGAGTTTAAAAATTTTACATGTCGTAGGTACCCTACTTTGAGCCGCCAC